TTTTAATTTTAATCTGACATGTACGCTTGCCATATTTGTAGATTATGGTATATTGGCTGATATACCATAATGGCTAAGCCAATAAAAAGTCTTGAATTGCATTATCCAATGATCTAGTTTTTAATAATTGATATTAAGTTGTGTTCAAGATCCGTGACAGTTTTTCCCCATCAAGCAAAGCAAATTTACTGAAACAAGTGATGCTGTGCCATTAAAAAAATGCAAATTCAAAGAAAGATAGAATTACTGACTCGTATTCATTGTAGCAGCTGGAAACAAAATATTTAGGTCAGGACTTTAGTCCATAACGTTGTTATCATAAAACATTTTATAAATACTTTTGACAAAGGTTATCAATGAGGCACAATGATTTGAGAATGTACTTAAATTCTTGAACAGTATTGATCACATGATACACATTCAATTTTATTTTTGGCTTGTCAATATTCATATTTTCAATAATCCTGCATTTTTATGAACCTCGACTTCATCTTGATCCATAAAAATGGAGAAAAAAAAGAGTCAGGTAATATTAACCAAACAAGATGGCAGGATCAATAAAGGATTCATTTCGTAGCAAAAATATTTCGCTTTAATAAGAATCAAGAATGACTTGTTTATTTTGAGAGTTGAGAAAGAAAGCTCACTGTGTTTGTAGCACAATAAACCTATAAGAGGCATTTATGTTTTCTCTGTACATGTAAATTGTTTCTCTTACCTATCTACAGGAGATCGTTCTCACGTCATTGAGCGATCAGTGAACAGGAGAACAGGGGAGGAAGACAGAAAGCAGAACTTTATCAACCTGGATGAAAGTGAGTTTGGTCATGTTTTTTTTTTTTATCGCAAACATCTTTTTCATGAAGGTATCAATTGTTTACTTCAAACCTCAGTCTGCGACCACTTCTCTTATTTGTCCGCTCCTTCAGCAACTACTAATACCTTCTCGTGTATCAAACTTTTGCTTTTGAAGTCAGAACCTCAAATTAGGGATCCATGTTTCTTATTGCTTTTAACCTCCTGAGCGTGATCACTCGTCTTTGTGTGATTAACATGTAACCATAATATTCATAATTATAGATTATACAGCAAACAGGTACTGGGAATACTTAAACTTAGCAGGTAGAAATTGTTATCTTGATTAAACACCAAATTCTTGTGACTCATTTACAAGGAAATGTGTAGCAGCTAGAGGGGAGAATTTACAATCAGTTCCTGGGAGTTTAAGCGTAAATGACCATAATATATGGCATAAACAACAGGTCCAAGCATGCATGGCAGTCTAAATCCCACAGGGATCAACGAACGCTTTTCACTCCACTAATTTATTCGTGTTTTTCTCGTTTCCATGTTCCCACCAATAACGTAGCTCCATTTTCTGCCTTTGAAAGCACACACAACCCACAATTCCTCTATTCGCTCCGACGAAGGGCTAACGCTCAAAACGTCAGCTTTTGTAATCGTTACGGTGGCCAATTTACCATTTCAACTTTGTTGATGTATCCAAATTATGCCATGATAAGGCACATAGTTATGTACAGCGTAGGTTTGGCTGTATCAAAGACCTTCATCTGGTACTCTATTTTTATCAGTAAATAAATTGATAGATATTTAACAAACAATCAAAGCAAATGAATGCTTTTTATGGTGCAGGTGATGCCGCAGCGTTTGACCAGGAATGGAAGCAACGAACCAAGCCACCCTCCAATACCTTAAGGGACAGACAGAGAACTACACTTAGAGAATTGGAAGGTTTGTATTCACTGAACTTCAGTCCTTTGAACCCCTCAGAGTGTTTAGCATCTAGTTTCTCCATAATCCAGTATCACCTCTGAATCACACATTAAGGTTACGAGAATTTAGGAAATGATCATCAACTATAGAAGCTCTTGGCTGTTAGACAAATTCGCCTTGTCATCAACTTAGGAAATGCATAGAGAACAGTATGGAGAATATGCATACTGATGTTAGTGTGTGAAGGGCTAAAAAGTAAACTGACTCGTAAAGGGATTCCACATCAACAGTTCTAATTGCTTTTCGTTTTTCCTCGTGTTTAGAACCTAGAGCAAGACCATCCCACTATAGCCGCAGTGCTGAAGCTGCTGCACCTTTTATGAGAGACGCAGGATCCATAAGAGAGAGGGACAGGCAGAGGGTCAATGGCGAAGGGACAGGGACAGGGACACGCAGAGAGATAGACGATATGCACCGGGACCATAGAGGTGCACGGGACAAGGACTGGGGTTCAGGTGATTTCAATGAAGTTGGGAGATCTCAGAGGGACAGGCGGGAGCATGAAAAGCATGTGCGATTGAACAGTCGTCCCGTAAACAGACATGAACCACGCGGCGGGCTTTGAAGTTTTGAACAGTAAGGCATAAGTCATGTAATGGAATATTAAGCTTTTGTGTCTCTGGAAGAGTTCGAATCTGGGCTAAGCAGAAGAGCATCTTTTCGGCTGCATTTCAGCATAGATTTAATACAAAGCTAGCCTTTAAAAGTGAATAATATTGTTAAGATATCGCAGGCATTTTTGATTTTAATTCCTGGATTAATTTATGAGAGCTTTTCTGCAGCGAAAGGAACTAAACCTGTAAGGACTTATCAACTCAACGTGTGCCTTGTGAAGTGTATTTACTTAAAACAAAATGTCTGTTGTCATGAGTGAACGCATGTTGTTAGACCAGTCAGAGTTTTGGCTGTTGTGCTTTCGAACTAAATGTAGCGTGGTTAAATAAAGTTTTTGGTTTGAGCGAAGCTGTTGTAGCTAACTTTTTGGCTTCCTCAGCGCATGCAAAGCTAAGCGATTTCTCCTTATCATAGCAAACAACCCTTGAAACGAGGCTGATATGCATATTACATAACCTGCAGAGTAGCACCAAAGCGAAAAACTCGTGGGAAATGGGTTCTCTATCGTCGGACCTATGAGAGACTCTAATGGTTTGTGCATGGCTTACTCCGGATGGAGAGTTCCGGGTTGTGTTGTATTGGAAAACACTTTTCTTTTTCGGTGCCTCTATCCAGCAAGGAGCATTCATGGGTACCTGCGAGTTGTCACGGAAGCCTGAGGAAATCCTGCGATGGACTGGCACCCCATCCTGGGGGGAGTAGCATACTCTCGGTCCGTAGGGGGGGGCACTTGGCTCGAGTACAAAACTAGTGAATCAATGGTTACATAAAAACAATAACTTCCAAAAAGATTACAAGGAATTTCTATCTCGTATGCCTTCTTTATTGTGGGTTTTCTGACTTATTCGGGCACGATATTGTTAACTTAACCTCTTCAGCAGAATTCATTACTTTTTCCTTGACTTTTAAGAATAGTACAGCGCCAGTAATGCATTGGCTATACCAATGATATTTCCCATTTTTTCTCTCATATCTTCAACAAACTTGCCATTATATGTATTCTCGTTGTCGAACACGTCACGAATTTCCTTTTTCAAATCCTTCAGGCATTTCTGCACATGCGCAATGCGTGGCACGCTTGCCTTGCTAAGCCGCTGTACAGTTTGATTCAAGTCACTGTTGTTACTATTCAAACTGGGCGTGATATCAGCGCAGCCTTCCTTCACCGATCGCAAAACAGGGACACCGCTATGCCCCCTCTCCGAATCGTGCAATATTTTGATCCATTCTTCCATTGTTGATACCAAGAACAGAAGATCGTCACGTTGTTTTTTCATAGGGCTATGCATCTTTTCCAGTCTAGTCACAGTCTTCTGTAGATGCTGTTTGTTGGTGCAGAGCATTTTCATTGACAAGGCGTAGCTAGTCTCCAGGCCATTCCCGGTTGTACGCAGCTGTCTCGTGTGCAAAGAATTGCTTGATAATTCGACAGCCACTGTGCCACTCATTTTAGGTCGATTTTAACGACCTTTGAAAATCTAAACGAAGAAGACCACATAGATTATCATCTTCACATATTGTATCGTACGAAAACAGAAAAATATAAAAAGAAGACAAATTCAGTTTTATTCTCGACATAACGCCAAGATTGTAATGAAGGTGGGAATATAATTCCTCGCAATTTTCGCTCAACACTCTTCCTTTCGTTATAAAAATGGGAGATAAATATGCACAAAGATCAGGTAGAAATATTTGTTCTCCAAAAACCATTCCCCCATGTAATAAAACTAACATTTACATCAATTACCTTCTCGTACTTCGGTCAGTCTTGAGCTTCAGTCCTACGGCTTCCTTTGAAATTTCGACTTTAAGCCGGATACTCTTTCTGATGAAGTATGATAAACGAAATCCAACAACAAACGATTGAAATGGTTCTATAAAGATCAAAGGTCACTCATCAAGTCCTCGTTTTCATTCACTTCAGTCGCACGTTCCACTCCCAGAATATTGTCTTAAATTGGTTTCCGTCAAAGCAACCAATGAAAGAGAAGATTATGCGAAGACAAGCTATGGGCAGCTGGAGAAAGCCATTCAAATACAACACTCTGATGATGGAAAGGATTCGAAAGCTTTGAAGGGTTTATCTAGTATAATAGCTGTACAGATGTTTCTGAATATGAAAATATACTTTGTTTTAAAAATAGGAGGGTGTATATTTTATGAATTAAATTTCGGTTTCATGTTCATTTGGCATGGAGAAAGCGTTTTTTGAACATTGTGGTAAGGAAAATGTATCTGGGTTTCGACTGAATCTATTTCATTTGACGGGAGATTAATATTTCATAAAGTATTTAATGACCTCTCCGAGGAAGCCATACCAAACACTGTGAATAATCCGAATCATTACTGAAACAGTTCGACGTTGAACATTTATTCATTCGAAAACTATACCCGCCTGCTTAAGAAAAGGTTGAAATAACGTCGTCAACTTAAAAGAAAAATATTGATCAGTGATCTTAGACAAAAGCTCATGCATGCAATAAAAAGATCGAATTAAGACATTTATTTCGTGCACCTGCTACGGACAACCAATCAAAATTCCTCGCGCCTTCGCTTGATGATAATTTGGGCGTGACAATTTCACAGCATTTGCCCTAGCCATTTACTATTTTAGCATTCTGTCGCCGCAGGGGTTTATTAGCGTCTGACAGCGCCCAAACTAAATCCAACACAACAAGAGACGGTGACATCGCTTTGTTTTGTTGGTCGGTCACCGGGAGAAACAAAACTTTCGGATTCTAAACGGTAAGCTTTTCAGTAAATTGCTGTCAGGAAATTTCTTCCTGGCCTTCGCGACAGATCTTATGTTCAGTACTTTGTACCTATGTATGGGTTTAAAGACAGGCTAGTGGTTTTTCGATACTGGTATTACTTTACTGATCTCGCCATGTCTCCCGCATTGTGAAGAAAAATGTTAAAAATACCATAGCAAAAATTAAGTCAATAATATCAATGGTTTATTCTCCGATTCTTGGTTAAAAATCCAAATACTGGTTCTTACTGATGATGGAATATTCTCCTGTAGAATGCAAATCTATGTGTATCTCAATCGAGTGTCAAAATTATTTTGCTTGACTTTATTACAATCTGTCCTTCATTGTGGGAATATGCAAATAGTGATTATGTTGGTTCGTGTGCGAAAAATCTTAAAATGTTATCTATCATTCTGGAAAATTGTATTTTTGTGTTTTATCAATCGCAAGTGCACAGTCAGGCTTGAAAATTACAATCTTCCTAAGAAAGACATATTTAGTGAAATTGCAGTAGTTTGGGATTTAGACATTAAAATAAAAGAAAACTAGCATACAAACTGCAGTTACAGACATGACAGTAAAACGCATGTTGGAAAACAAGATTAGTAAACTTTACTTGACGTTTCGTATGTAAAGTTTACTAATCTTGTTTTCCAACATGCGTTTTACTGTCATGTTTGTAACTGTAGTTTGTGTGCTATTTCTTATCTAGCTACGATGGCCAAAGAGAAATAATTTTTATAAAAGAAAACTAAACTAGCTCTTGGATTTTCGTGGGAAGGTGTAAAAAGCACTTTAGTTTACAAATCAATAATTTAGCATTTTAGTTCTCTACATTTTCATACCGGAGGAAACATATTACGAATGCAAGTTTATTTATAAAAATTGCGGGTTTTTTTCGTATCAAGTGAGCTTGTGATCACTTTGAGGATCCATTAAATTTCAAAAAAGGCATAATGCATTTGTTAGGAAACTTTTCTCAAAATCGACGATAGGTAGTGTAACCGTTCTTCTCAGTTATTATTATTATTATTATTATTTTTTTTTAGCTGTTTTGGATTTGTAGATCGAATTTAAAATTTGTTTGAAACATTGTTATTTGCGCAGGTAAAATGGAGACACCAATTTATGTCGATGGAGCAACTTCGACCAGCGGAAAGAGTGTTTCGTTGAAACGGGTCATAAATCACAAAAAAGATCTTCAGAAGGAAATTTCCGACTTGGAAAAACTTCAGAAGACCTTACTTCAACAGAGAAAAGATCTCGAATACATAAACGAGAATATCAGAGGCTGGGCTAAGAGCTTCGACACCATTGAAAGAAATACTCAAGGTGTTCCCTTTGTGAGAAATGTCAAAGAAATTTGCGCGTCGATTGAAAACCTGTTGAATGATATTCATGGAGACTTTTACTTCAGAATGCAGAATTTGATCACGGCAGATGTGCCATGTTTTCAGCAGGTTTATGAAGCCTTAGAGCTGTTGAAAAAACAAGTTTCGAAGATCATTAGGGATGATGCAGCCTACAAGGCGTCATTTATCGAAGAAATTCGACAGATCCTTGGACGCCTTACAGGCATCACTGATACTATGTTAGAAATTTATTTTGAACAATAAATAAGAAAATAATTAAGGGAAGACCTTTGACGATTAAACTGAAAAACAAAATATTAAGATAATTTAGAAGCTTCAATCGCAGTTTCATTAGACTTTATTTTTGTATGCAAATGTTTTGGTTTAGAGTTTGTTTTCAAAACAGCCTTATGTAGCCTTATGTTTTTTCGTGGCGTACCTGTAAACTAGCTTTTAGCTAAGCGTTCTGACCACGTTAAATAAATTGATTGATTGATTGATTGTAGGAATAACGAGTTCATGCATTGTCATGCTATAAGAAATATTTAACTCCAGGTAAATAAAGAAGTTGTTATCGATTTCTTCAAATAAAAGAGAGAATCCTTTGAATGCACGGAAAGGAATGTACTATATTTCATGCCTGGATATCGTACAACATGAATGAATGAAAATATCAGAATCTGAGGTCCATCGCTTTTACTCGTTCGTATTTTTATTTACCGCGAACGAATGAAGGTAAATTAAACATTTTTGTAAATGAAGAATGCATCTTTCTTTCAAAGAGCTGTGTAGAGAAATAGACAATGCAAAGAACTGAATAGAGAGCTACTTAGAAAATTATATAAATTGGCTTGAACGATGACATATTTCTATTGTGTATGTACTTTTTGTTCCGGTAAAAGCTTCATTCATGCTGAGTTTGTAACCAAACATTCTTTATCTGTGTTATTCCCCAAATAATTTGGCCGGCATGGTTGTTTTACCCCTGAATTAACCTATGTATAACTGTACTGGCCACCGCAAAGTATCTCGGAATATGACGAGTTCAAAACCCGGATCGTGAAAAAGTTAAAATGCTAGAAATTTTTTGTTGAAAAAGACGAAGATAAAGGAACTTAAGGTCATTCTTTCCACAAAGGATAATCCGCCAATACTGATGTAATGATTTTAGTTTTTGGTTCATTATACAAGAGCGCCTTTACTTTTTCAAAATCATTGAAGATAAGCAGAAAATAAGTGTAAAGGGTGTTTTTTCAATTACATAAGAAGAATTTCTGAAAAAAATTACATAGAGCAGTTTTAGCCTAATAGAAGTGGTCACACCTGCATATAATTTTGGATGCAAATAAAAATTTTCCACTCGAAGGAGACCGTTCGGTGCTGTCTTCCTTGAAACCTTTCAACGATATTCTTAAAAATGAAACTAAAATTTGTAAGTTACTCTCACATCTAGAATGGTTTTGGGCTCATTAATGAGAACCTTCTTATGAGGGAACCAATGTAGAAATATGGAATTTCGAAAACTACAGTACATATTATGTGATGAACTTGATCCGCAAACTTCATGCATTGAAATGAATTTTAGCTATACATTTGCTTTTTTACTTATTCACTGCAAACAATGTCTGATTGTGAAATCGAAAAAGGAAAATAAAGCGAAGACGAGTCTATACACACCTGTTCACCGTTCGTCCAATCATCTTCAAGATTTACGCGATTTTTAACCAATCAAATCACTGATATTGTGAAACGCATGGTCATGCGCATGAAGTTTGTACCCTTTGGGTGGGTCAGTTTTTTAGTGATAAATCATCGACAACGTTCGAAAGTGCTTTCCTGAAATATCATACCATTTCGCTCTGATTCCTTTTTCAAGGATCGTGACAATTACATTTCTCTTATACGAGCGAGGTAAGCCAGCAGACGTAATTTTTAAAAAGATTTTCATAACTATAAAATAATGTACGCGCTGCGATTAAGCGTACATTGACAGATGACAGGAATAACACACTTTAACGTAAGGCTAAAGTCGGAATTATCTAACCCTCCATAAAAACACTCGTTAGCACATATCTCATACGGGTTTGATCCTAAAGTAAGATTATTTTTATGGTCTTTTCACACGATTCATCCTTGAAAACAACACTTTATTAACTATCTTGTACGCATTTCGCCGTTTCACTAGGATCATATTTGTTTTAATTCATTCATAGACGCAAAAAGGAAAATAATTTTCGTCTATGCAAATTGTTTTGTCCCCAGACTTCCTCGAACATAAGTAAACAATTTCTTTCAAACATATCCCTCTTTGTATTTTTTTAGAGACGTTTCCTTTTCCGTGAAAATAGCCTCAAATAGAATGAAGATTCCTATAGTTTATCAATATTTTAAACATTACTATGCAGGGGTTTCGAAATTTTTTTCCTGAAGCGGTTGTCAATGATTAATAGTTGGTCATGCCCGGAAAGGGGGGCCTAGGATGGTGAAGCGAAACCCAAACACATGTTCAATGGCTCGAGACACAACCTCGTTCCCAGGGCCTTTTCCCACCCCACCCCCAAATAAGAGAAAAAGCCATGGGAACGAGGTTGCTCGGGACAGACGGCGGTAAGATTTCCTTAAGGTAGCGGTTGACCGCCTAAAAAAAACCCTGTACGGGCACCAAGAATGTGGTTTGTAGAAAACCTGAATGTTTTATTTTATTTCTGAACATTTAGAGACATGACTAACGTAGGAAGCGATGGAATCCAAGAACTCACGACGCGTGCCGAGAAGTTATCGATTACTTCTATTAACAAAGGCACCAAGCTGTTCAAAGCTCAAATCAGAGAACTGGATAAACAGTATGACACGATGCAACAGCAACTAGAAGATCTACACTTTATCTTGGACGTTATCCTTAAATGGGACGAAGACTTCAAGAAAGTGGTACGATTTAGTCAGGGCGTGCCTCACATGAGGAGCACAAAGGAGATTTGCGCCAACATCAAGACGGCCATGATACCGAGCAGTGAGTTTGACCGCACGGTGCAGATTCTCATCAGAGATGGTGTGCCATGTTTCACGAGAGTGACAGGGCTTTTTGATAAGTTGAAATCTCGTCTCGATGAGAGGTCGCCAAACGCGAAGGTCTCTGAGGAGATTCGTCAACTGCTCGGAGAGTTAATCGGAACTTTGTGCACGATAATGAATTTCTTTTACGATCAAGAGGCGTAAACCTCTAATTAGAGGACATTGGGTCGAGAGACAGAATGGGAGGAGGGGGAGATTAGTGTTAAAATGTACCCCTCCCCCCTTGTTTTTGATCGAAAAATTGTTCAGTTCGTTTGACGTCATCGATTCTGACTGAAGATAAATTTTTTTGAGTCTTGAATCAAAGAAACAAAGCCAAATGTTTTCAAATTCTAACTTTATTAATTAATTCTCTCAACGGTGCTGTAAGTTCTGAAATGGATGAAAAATTTACAACACGTTCGATTTCATTCGTGTTGTTTGATTCATCGTTTCTTCTGTAGTAACGTCACAACAAGCGGCTGAAGAAACGTGTTTCCACGCAAGCTTCTTTTTTGGCTTGTCACGCAGATTGCGTTACACGCAAAAAAAATTACCCGCCTTTTGATCGACCTTAGCTAATTGATTGCCTGATAACGGCTCTGTGGGGAAGCGATCTGTTTAACAATACATCAATCAGTAGTTCAATTTATAGGTTCAAAATATCGGAAGAGAAGGAAAATTTTTAGAAATGAAATATTCATCTGAATGCACTGCTGAAACATTTCTTTCTCCAGGAACTAAGTTATCTGTGTGCAACTTGGCAACGGGTAGTTTCTTACTCGTCACTTTGACTTTGGTGTTGGGAATTTTGTCATGGTTACAATTACGCACGGACTGCTGCAATACAATCTCGCTTTGGCTGGTGGCGATGTCGAGCTCGCGTCCGGTCTAGCCGGCGGGTGCTATTTTTCAATTGTTTACTCTGTTTGCGTATTGTTGTTATGTTTATTCTGTGCTTGGAAAAAATATACTCTAACTCCCTCGACACTCGTTTCTAATTAAAATTCGACGGTGTACTTGAATCAAAGGGTCATATGTCAATGGATTTAAACAGAATTAAATTCTAGCCTATTCTGATATTTATAATATTATTTGAAAAGACGACATCCGCGTATGATTCACGAATTTGCGCAGTCAGCTGACAGCTTGACGAAATTAGCGTGGACAAAACATCGAAAACGCCTTGTTGTTTTTTTTTTATGTCTGAAATTTATGTAAAGTGCTTGTTCCGTGACGAACACGCTCACTTGGATTAACCCAACCCTCCGCGGATTGAAAGATAAAGAAGGCTAACAATTTAACATGGCGCTGAGTTATCACTTGTTGTTTAAAGTCCTCCTCGTCGGCGATCCCGACGTCGGCAGATGCGCCATCTTCCATCCACCGGCAGGTAACGCCTCGGTTTTGTCGGCTATGGGAGTGAATTTTCTCAAAAGGCAACTAGAAATCGGTGAGTAGTGTTCCTTCGGCGAGTACTTTTACGGTATTACGGATAACTGCTTGTCTGGCGTTCGCTCTTTATGCGCTACGATGCCGCAACTTACCCGAGTGTTGTTTTGAACCGGTAGTAGTGAGGGATTTAACGATACAGCTCGGCGACTATTTATGGTTCAGTATACTCTAACGACGCTTTGAACTCCATGTTAGGGCGATATTTGCTTTGTGTTTGTAGAAATCGCAATACAACTTCGTTAACGAGTTGTCAATATCATACCCTAGTAGTTCATAATTCCCCTGATAATTTTGTCATTCGTGTTTTTTTCCCGTCAAGCGAACAGCTGTTGTTATTAACTGACTTCTACGGATAAGTCAGTTTTGTTTTTCTCAATCCACTTAAAATAATTGAGAAATGATCTGAAACTGTTATCGTTGGAAGAGGAATGCTTTTACTGGCGCGATACTTCCTAATTTGAAACATTGAAAAGCAAATATTTTACGTGCCTCGAAGGCATGATCTCGATTAAAAGCTGTCCTACTCGTATCTGACTCTTTCGACCGAGTTCAATTAACTTTTCCTTTCAAACTTCAGATGGAAAACGAATAAAATTGCAGATATGGAATATTACAGGACAGGAAAGGTAAGAAGACATTGTGGAGTTAAACGCGCCACTTTGCTGTACGTCACGCGATTGCATGGTCACGCCATGTCAAGTTCTCGTTAACAGCTGCAGTCAAGTCTACGTTTTTGAACAAATTTCGTGCAAGGATTCTCATTAGCGTTATAGAAAGTTTCAAAATGCTCAAAGGAACACTTTCCGGTTGAAATGTTTCATTATCTTTCCTATTTAAAAACACTTCAGATTTTTCCCAACTGTAACACAGGAAGTCTATTATAATACAGAACGCGGAAGTCCACACCCTAGCAATAGCTACCTCCTCAGTGATACATTTCCGTTCGTAAACGAAATTTTTTAAATGTATTTTTGCCTGTGATACTCTCCCAGAAGCCCAAAAACGCTAATGAAAACGAGGCCTAGAAAAATGGTGAAATAAATGGAGTGTTGTGAAAACGCATCGTTCTTTAAAATGCTCAGCCTGCGAAGCAAGCCCTGGGGGAAAGGAGGTGGGATTGAGGGAGCGGAATGTGCGGAGCCCCAATCCCCCCTCCTTTCACCCAAGGCTTGCTTCGCAGGCTAAAAATGCTCGGTTCCGTTTATGAACAAGTGAAATCAGAGGCTCTTGAAAACGATGAGGAAAATAACGAATCACGTATTAATTGTCGCCTCTATCAGCGTATCAGGCGTTTTGGTGAGAACGATGAAACGTAGAAGTGTTAATAAGGTGAGAGCCAAGCGAAGGACGCTTTTGTGGGCAGAATTTTGGTTGAGGGCCAAAATGCCAATTGGATTAGTGTCGTCGGCGTATGAAAGCTAATTCGCAGGAATGTCTCTTTCTCCGACCTTGAAAACCACAATCTCCCGTATGACGGTGTAGCAAAAAGATAAGTCACTATCCCCACCCACATACTGGGATTTTCAGTTGAGCGAAGCACGACGGACGTTAAAAGTTACATACAAAAATCCGGATATTTTTCAGGAATTTTAGGTTCAAACAAAATTTCTAGAGAACTTGAGGATCTTTGGAACAGTTAAGGATTTATAGACGACAATTTTGGAAAAATGCAGCCAAATCTACGTGATTCGTAGATGCTTCTTTCATTGTTCCCAAAAGGGGTCCTTCCATACAAATACTACCGGTCAGAGATTTCACGTTAAAGTTGTGTTTATGTCACGGGAAACTGGTCTCATTTCCAGTGGCAACGTGTTGTTTGACTTCTCTTATAGACGGGCTTCCGAATTTGACAGTTGGCGACGCACGGCTCTTGAGATTCGGTTACCGCTTGAAACGAGGAAGGTTACCCGTTGCAACACTTTTTCCGTGCCTCACTTATGCTCAACTAATAATCATAGTGAGTTTCAATCGCTTTACATTGAAATCCAATTTTTTAGTACCCAGGCTGTCACTCCCAGCTACTATCACGGTACTCAAGGGTTCATCGTTGCTTTTGACGTCACCGATAAGAGTTCCTATGACAGAATCCTGGACTGGCTTCTTATTATTGAACAACACGCCAGCAAGCGAGGCTCTCAAAAGATGTTGGTTGCTAACAAGTGCCATTGTAAGGAGAGAAACCGCGTTATTACAGAAAAAGAGGGCGAAGCTCTCGCCAGAGAATTTGGTATGAGATATGTGGAAATCAACGATCTGCAAGGCTCAGATATAGATGAGGTTCTAAAGCAGTTAATTCAAGACATCCTGAATAACAATGGCGCTCCAGGAAAAGTTGAAGATGGCCACAAAACGAACATTTGTGAGTTGGACACGGAATATAACGGCACCAGAACTGGAGGAGAAAAGGAATCACTTCTCGGTTAGAGATTATAATCTCTTGCTTCTAGGTTAACAAGTCTTCCGCGAATAGGACATTTTAAAAAAGATGTGGAAGTATTTCGCCTTAGAAAATCTTCGAAATTCTTCCATCAGATTTCGCGGGCAAAGCTTTTGTACGAAAACGAGATTTAATACAAGATTTTTCGAGAAGATACGTTTGCTAGCTAGGAATTTGCATATCCTATAACTTCAAGGTAGCCTCTTCTCGCAATTTATCCACCCTCCCTTCTATTTCAAACAGTCAATCAAGGGCGAGATAGTTGTAGCTGCGCGTATAAACGTGCGAGCGTGTAGACACGCGAGGAAGGCGTCTCCTCGCTCGCCTTAGTACATCTAGCTAGTTCGTCAGAAAGAGTGCTGGCGCTTGGCGACCCGCGGGAGCATGAGAGAGACTGAAAAATCTATACGAGTTCTAAAATTTTTAAGTGAATTAATATATGAAAAATAACCTCGATGAGGGGTACATAGGCATTCACAGTATCTACCAAGGTTGGAATTTAGAAACTAACCACATTTTTTCCCAACGATCGTCTTAGACATTTTTAATGTGACTTGGTCCATGTTGTAATTAAAATAAACTCAAGAGAATAGAATACGCCAATTTGGTAGGACTCAAACGCTCTTTCTCTGACTCGATATGTCTTTTCGCATGCACTCACAAAAATAAGGTTATTCGATAGTTTGAAGATCATTTTTGTTGAGTGCTCTTTGGTTAGTATTACTGTACCTCGATGTGGCAAACCTTGTCCTCAGAATGAGGTTCGGTGTGGCAGATCAAAGAATAATTCAGAGTGGAAGGAACTCCATTATCACCACTTCATCGCCATGCACCCTTAGATAAATCCCTTGTGGACGGAAAAAGAAGACTTGAAAACAATAGCCTTTTATTTTTTTTTTTTTTCAAGTCCCAATTGACAAATTTCAAATGGCGTAGGGCAGCCTGACACTCACAAACGCGCGAGAACAAAAAACTCGAAATAGTAAGGATTTTAACACGTAGTCACGTTAGACTTTTCATGTAATTTAATTTTTGACTTAATTTTAGTTTATTAGCTTCGCCGACAGGCAGGGACCCCGCAACAGCTTGCGCTAATGACTGCCACCCATCCCACCCCAGGGGAGGACATCCACCACACAGTGATGTCGTGCGTGGGAA